TTACAAAATCAGGTGAAGATACTACAAAGTAAGAGAATTACAGGCCAATATCCTTGATGAACATAGATAATAAAATCATGAAAAAAATATTAGCAAATCAGATCCAGCCATACATTAAAAGGACCATGACCAACTGGGATTTAATCCAGGGATGGAAGGCTGGTACAACAGTTACAAATCAATAAACGGGACACTTCACATAAACAAATTGAAAGGCAAAAATCACATGATCACATTAATAGATGCACAAAAAGCATTCAACACCCATTTTTTTTTTTAAAGCAATCTTTATTGTTCATATTATTACAAAGGTTCCTCATTTCTTCCCCCCTCCACCAGGTTCCCACCCCACCCTCCGTCCCCCCCTCCCCCATTGTCCTCATCCATAGGTGCAGTTTATGTTCAGTCTCTTCTTCCCTCAATTTCCCCAATAGTAAATCCCTTTTCAGATAGTAAATCAGTTACTTAGCATTTTCTCATATCAATAATACCTCCACATGCCCAATGATACACTTCACACAAAAGACATTTCCCACTAGGTTCAACCAGCCTCATCCAGGCCCCACCCAAGGCACTCACAGATCAACACCCCAGTCCTAAACTAACTCAACACATCCAGATCTAAGCCTTCATCACTTGATTCAGTAGACACTCAAGTTCCCACGAAAGTTTCCAGCCATGTCTGAGAAGCAGCCGTGGGGCAGGGGCAGGCAAGGAGCGAGCTGTTCTGGCTGCTCAGGGCCTGGCCTCTGTTGCTCTGGTTCATTACACAACCAGTTGCTCTGGGTCTGGTCACTGCCGCTCCCGACCTAGTTGCTCTGGACTTGGCTGCTGCTGCTCCGGGCCTGGCCGCTCCCAGCCTGGCAGCCGCTGCTCCGGGCCTGGCCGCACCCGACCCGCCTGCTCCCCCGGGCCTGGCCGCTCCCAGCCTGGCAGCCGCTGCTCCGTGCCTGGCCGCACCAGCCCCGCCTGCTCCCCCGGGCCTGGCCGCTCCCAGCCTGGCAGCCGCTGCTCCGTGCCTGGCCGCACCAGCCCCGCCTGCTCCCCCGGGCCTGGCCGCTCCCAGCCTGGCAGCCGCTGCTCCGGGCCTGGCCGCACCCGACCCGCCTGCTCCCCCGGGCCTGGCCGCTCCCAGCCTGGCAGCCGCTGCTCCGGGCCTGGCCGCACCCGACCCGCCTGCTCCCCCGGGCCGGGCCGCTCCCAGCCTGGCAGCCGCTGCTCCGGGCCTGGCCGCACCCGACCCGCCTGCTTCCCCGGGCCTGGCCGCTCCCAGCCTGGCAGCCGCTGCTCCGGGCCTGGCCGCACCAGCCCCGCCTGCTCCCCCGGGCCTGGCCGCTCCCAGCCTGGCAGCCGCTGCTCCGGGCCTGGCCGCACCAGCCCCGCCTGCTCCCCCGGGCCTGGCCGCTCCCAGCCTGGCAGCCGCTGCTCCGGGCCTGGCCGCACCCGACCCGCCTGCTCCCCCGGGCCTGGCCGCTCCCAGCCTGGCAGCCGCTGCTCCGGGCCTGGCCGCACCAGCCCCGCCTGCTCCCCCGGGCCTGGCCGCTCCCAGCCTGGCAGCCGCTGCTCCGGGCCTGGCCGCACCGGACCCGGCTGCTCCCCCGGGCCTGGCCGCTCCCAGCCTGGCAGCCGCTGCTCCGGGCCTGGCCGCACCGGACCCGGCTGCTCCCCCGGGCCTGGCCGCTCCCAGCCTGGCAGCCGCTGCTCCGGGCCTGGCCGCACCAGCCCCGCCTGCTCCCCCGGGCCTGGCCGCTCCCAGCCTGGCAGCCGCTGCTCCGGGCCTGGCCGCACCCGACCCGACTGCTCCCCTGGGCCTGGCCGCTCCCAGCCTGGCAGCTGCTGCTCCGGGCCTGGCTGCACCTGACCCGGCTGCTCTGGGCCCGGCTGCCCCGGGCCCGGCCGCTCCGAGCCTGGCCACTCCCGACCTGGATGCTCTGGGCTTGGCTACTGCTGTTCTGGGTCTGGCTGCTCCCACCCCGGCTGCTCTGGGCCCGGCTTCTTCGGGCCTGGCCACTCCGGGTCTGGGTGTTCCTGGACTGGCCACCCTGGGCTTGGCCGCCTCCGCCTCATGCCTGGCTGCCACTGCCCCAGGTCTGGCTACTCCAGTGCTGGCTGTTGATGCTCTGGTTCTGGCTGCTGTTGTTCTGGGGCCTGGCCGTTGCTGCTCCGGGTCTGGCTGCCACTGCCTTGTGCCTGGCCACTCTAGGCCTGGCCGTCGCTGTTCCAACATTCTGTCCTTTTTTTTTCTTTTTAAAACGCATTTATGTTGCAATGTTGGCTGGTGAGTTGAGTTCTGACTTAGTCTTTGATTTTTCAAGATCTTCTTTGTATTCTTTCTTAAGTAATTTTACTATTTTTTGCTCTCACTTGATTTCTTCACATTGAGAACTTCTTTGGTTTCTTCCTCCTTGTCCTGGGAGCTCAGCAGGTTGGCCTGTGGCACCCCTTTGTTCTCCGCGGGCTCCTGTGCTGCTTCAGCCTGTTGCCGGGACGGTGGCGCCGCCCAGGAAGCAGCCCCCGGCCTTGGCTCCATTGCCCGAGCTCAGTGGTCAAAGGCTCAGGGGCACCCACGCCCCCAGGGGCCCCGTGGCCCGCCTCCTTGCTGGTGCCCCGTTGGCTGGAGTCCGGCAGGGGCTTCCGCTCCCCTCCGCGTTCCCCCAGCCTAGAGCTTTTTTTTTTCTCCTTCCCGCTAGGGAAGTCCAGCATCAGAGTCAACAGACTGTCCTCTGCGCGCAGTTTGCGCGAGTCCCACAGACTGTCCTCTGCGCACAGTTTGCGCGAGTCCCACAGACTGTCCTCTGCGCGCAGTTTGCGCGAGTCCCGGGGGCCCGGCCTTTCGCCACTCTTCCCGGACTCCACCTCACAGCCCCGTCTCCCTCTGCCTGAGCCTGGGTCCCCAGGGATTGGCCCAGAACTGGGGTTCGGAGCAGTCCGGACTGAGGCTCAGCGCCGCCGGAGGCCTTGTTTCTTCCGGCTAGGGCAACCCAGCATCAGAGTCAACATTCAGTCCTCTGCGCGCATTGCGCGTGACTCCCGGGGCCCTGCCTTTCGCCGTTTTTCCGCCTCACGGCCCCGTCTCCTCCCGCGGGAGCCTGGATCCCCAGGGTCTGGCCCATAACTGGGGCTCAGCGCTGCCGGTTCGGGGGGGGGGCTCAGCGCTGCCGGTTCGGGGGTTCAGCCCAGGCTGGGGGTTTTATTTCCTTCCTGCTAGGGAAGGAAAGGCGGCTCCCCGCCCTCTCCTCCTCTCCGGCTGCGACCTCTCCGTGCGCGCGTGCGGGCGGGCAGGTGCGCGCAGCATGTCTCCGTACCTTAGGCTTTTTTTCAGCTCCTCTGATTTTCTTTCTGGTTTTCTCTTTCCTTCTTGTTGTAGAAATTTCAGTCAGTCGACTACCTGTAGCTCTGGGCAATGTCCACTCTACATTTTAGTTGTATTCCATTGAAATTGTTGTGTGCTGCCGCGGCTAGATGTCTACCCGAGCAGCCATCTTGGATCCTGTCAACACCCATTTTTGATAAAAACTCTCAGCAAAGTGGGAAGAAAGGAAGCATATCTCACCATGATAAAGGCCATAGATGACAAACCTATAGCCAACATCATACTCAATGGGCAAAAACTAAAACCATTTCCCCTAAGAACAGGAATAAGACAGCGATGTCTGTGGTCTCCAATCTTATTCAACACTAGAGGCTCGGTGAATGAAAATTCATGCACTGGAGGGGGCATCCCTCAGCCCAGCCTGCCCCCTCTCACAGTCGGGAGCATTCAGGGGCAGGAGGTGACCTGGTGATCAGGGGAAGGCAATGCCCCCATTACACCTCTGCTGCTGCCACTGCTGGCAGTGCAAGCCTTGTCCAGCCCTGGTTACCTGAGCCTTGGGCAGTCCTAGGCGGCTGGGCAGCCGTCATCCGTGGCTTACCTGCCTCTTTGGCCAGCCCAGTGGAGCTGAGGGGCTGAGGGTGGGTCCAACTGAACTGTGTGCCTGCCATGCCCCTGCTGGGCTGAAAAAGACTATGGAAATCTGACAGGACTGAGGGGACTGGGCACCGCCATCTTTGTGACAGCATGATGGTCAATTTGTGCCTTTTTTTTTTTTTAATATATTTTATTGATATTTTACAGAGAGAAAGAGAGAGAGATAGAGAGTTAGAAACATCGATGAGAGCACAACCCCCACAACCAAAGTACATGCCCTTGACCGGAATCGAACCTGGGACCTTTCAGTCCTCAGGCTGACGCTCTATCCACTGAGCCAAACAGGTTTAGGCATTTTGAATATTCCCTCTTTATTAGATAGAAGGATAGTACTGGAAGTCCTAGCTACAGTGATCATATAAGAAAAAATAAAAGGCATCCAAATGGGAAGAACAGAATGGATCCAGAAACAGAGAAGCCTGGAACAGAGTGTGGAATTTTTGAGGGAAGGCAGGGGAGGATGAGTGGGAGGTAATCAACCAAGGACATTGTATGCATATACGCATGGCCCATGGACACAGACAGTGGGGCAGTGAGGGAGGTGAGGGGGAGGGGGTAGGCTGGTAGGGGTTTATGGGGGGGAAAAGGACATATGTAATACTTTCAACAATAAAGAATTATTTTTTTTTTAAAGGACTCCACTAGAAAGGGAACAAATGCAACAGGTGGGTTTGCCACAGGTATCAGATATCAGCGTGCAGGACACACCTGCCACAGGCCTACAAATGCCATGTACCCATCCTCCTGAGTCAGAACACCTCCTGGGACACATCTGCTGAGGACACAGGAACAGCACCCTGAGGACATAAGTAACTAAAGCCTTTATGTAAGGCGAATGGGGGACATCTGCATTTACCCTGATCCAGCAAGTTCTCTTCCAGAAATGACCATGAGGACATAATTATGATTTAATGCAGAGCTTAACCCCTGGTGTCTTCCCAAGCCTCGAAGTCTCTGTTACAAAATTTCCCCAACGCCTCCAAAACCAGCGTGCCATTGACTTGCAGTGTTTGTGGCCTGGTATGCGTACCTTCCTTTCTCGGTATCTTCTTTCTCTCTCTTCATCTCCTCTTTCAGAGTTCTCATCTCTCCTCTCGTTCTCTTCAGTTCTTACTTTACTTACTATAAAAAGAAAACATACTTTTATTGTTTGTTTCTTGTTGTTAATCTTTACCAGAGAACATTTTTTCACTGATTGTTTTTTTTTTTTGTTTTTTTTTTAGAGAGAGCAGAAGCGAGAAGGAGAGACAGAGAGAAACATCGATGTCGATTGACTGCCTCCTGCATATGCCCCAACAAAGGCCACGGATTGAGCCTGCAACCAAGGTACATGCCTGTCACTGGATTCAAACCTGGAATCCTTCAATCCATAGGCTGACGCTCTATCCACTGAGCCAAACTGACAAGGGCAAGAAAACATACTTTTAACATTCCCAAACTTCAGACATCCAAAAGGCCCCCTAACATCTTGCTGCAGTCTTTTCTGTAAATACCGCATTACAAAATTATTTATTAACACATGAAAACATAGCCTTCTATTAGACCACATTCTATAATCTCAAAAATAAAAAGTCCTGGAGTCTAAAATAAAAATGAATCTCTGAGGGACGGCAGGGTTGGGTGGGTGGCTGGGAAGAGATCAACCAAAGACCTTGGATGCACATGTGCATAACCCTGAACACAGACAAGAGTGCGGGGAAGGCCTGGCTCCTATGGGTCAATGGGGAAAAAAGAGGGCCATTTGTAATACTTTCAACAATAAAGATAAATTAAAAATTTTAAAAATCACATACAAAAATGGAATAAAGGAGATGACAGTGGCAACTGCTAAGGAGGCAACCTGGCAGGTGCAGCCTAGCTGCTGGGACTCAGCGGCACCAGCCCAATGCACACACCTTTGGGCCCTGGGGTAGCACATCCAGAAAAATGCCCCGCTAGGCGGACATTTCCGCCAAGTGCTCAGCTGCAAGAGAGTCACTGCAACCTTGGGATGAGTGGAGGAGGGCACCACTTACAGCCGGCCGCTGCCCTGCCACCTGTGAGAGAGGCCAAAGGGACCAGCAGAGCCACACACAACCAGTTACAATACACACAGCTCCCGCCAATAGTGAAAACTAGATTTTTCACTTTGGAATCTGCCAAAAGTCATTACGCTTAAAATGAAGAGAATCAACATTTTCAAAGATAAGGACCAAATTAAATATTCAGACAAATTGTTAAATGCCTATACTAATAAAAGGGTAATATGCAAACTGGTCACCACGCCCTCACAATAACAATCAAACAGCAGGCTTTGTGGGGCGACCAGACCAGCAAGGGGGTTAGCGAGGAACAACCATACGACTGACCAGCAGGCTGCATGGGGCTACTAGACGGACATGGGGGCAGTAGGGGGCAACCAGGCCAGCAGGGGGGACAGTTCGGGGCAACCAGGCCCACAGGGGGGGTAGTTTGGAGTGACCAGGCCAGCAGGGGGGGGGGGCAGTTAGGGGCAATCAGGCAGGTGAGCAGTTAGGAGCCAGTGGTCTTGGATTGTGAGAGGTATGTCCCTGGGATTGGGCTGAAAACAGCAGCTAGATATCCCTCAAGATGTCCCGGATTGGAGAGGGTCCAGGCTTGGCTAAGAGGAGCCCCCCAACCCCATGCATGAATTTCATGCACTAGGCCTCTAGTTGCTTAAAATAAAACAGATACTTCTAAGAAATTCTCTTACCAAAGAGCATAACTTTTGTTTATCTACAATGTGGATTGAGATTTACAAAGATAATTAACCTGGAATGTTTCGATAGTAAAACTCTAGCAAATAGAAAATCATTACTCCTTTCATTCACTGAAAAAATACCGAAAAGAAAACCATCTTGTAAAGCACACAGTTCAGCATGGGCACAACCCAACGCAAAGCTGAGCCTCCGAAAACCAAGGGCAAGGATAACATGGGAGTGGGCACTTCAGAGGGGCTGGCCCACGTGCCTGGCCCTGGGAGGGCCACAGCCCAGGCACATACCTGACCGCATCCTGTGCTCAGGCCAGTTGTGGTGCCTGGCCGCGGGCTTGGGCTCCTCCCTCCGCACCCGGTGCTCCCCTTCACGCTCCCGCTCTTTGCCTCGGCTCTGGTGCTTCTCTGTGTCATGCTCTCGGGCCTTGTCCCTCAGCTTCTCTCTGTCCAGGTCCCTGGCGTCCTTTCTCTTCTCCCGTGGCTTCTCTTTGTCTCTGTCTCCACGAGGGTGCTCCCTGGAGCCATGGCGGTCTCTGCCTGCCACCCTCTCCCTGCGCTTGGCATCCCGGTCTGGGTCCCCGGTCTGCTCCTTGGACTCCGGGGCATCCGTTTCCAAGTCCTTATGTAGCTTCTTTTCCTTGTGTTTCTTGTCTTCCCTGGGAAGCGCCGACTGTGCAGCCAAAGCAAGAAAAAGAAAAGGGTTTCTGAGCCTGACAGCCTTAACACCACAGGCTGCCACTGCGTCCTGCTCCCCCAGGGGCAGGCAGGGCAGGAGGAGCCTCACTGCCACAGGGTGTCCCGGCGCTCCTGTGCCTGCAGACCAGTGCCCGCTGGAGACACACTCCCCTTTGTTAGCAAGTCAAACCTAAAACTCCACCCCATGAGAAAAAAAAATGAACAGGATACTGAAGAAGAAGAAAAAAGAAATAACAGAATAAATATGCACGTCAGTGACTAAATGGCCCACAAGGAACGCTTGTGGAGGCCTGGGCTGAGCCTTGAGAATGCACAAGCTTCTTTCCGTTTAGATTTTCATGAAGAAAAAAACAGAGAGAACACGGTGCTGAAGCTGTGTCGCGGTGTCCGAGACCAGCCAGGTCCTACTCAAGTACAAGGACCTTCCTTATAAAACTCTCAGGCGATCTCCCTCAATCCCCAAGCCTCCCTCCACATAAGTGCACGTCACCCACACGACAGAAACAAACTATGCACACCACACATGTACACACACAGCCTGGGCTCTGAACCATGAAAGAAGCAGACAGAGTTGGTGACATTCGGGCTGGGCTAGGAAACCCCTTTCTCACCACAGACCCAGAGCAATCCCCACACGAGTCGAGAACACCCTGAAATGAGCCACATGGAAGCAAAGTTGCGTGGGGCTGAGAACCAGGAAAACTGTCCAATCAGACCCCAGCTCAAATTCTCTAAACATATTCACCCAAAGGTGTTTCCGCAGCTCATCTGCTGTCCATGTTTCATCTTTGGTTCTTCTCTAAAAAGAAAAGTGTAAAGTTGGAATTTTCCAAGTTTAAATAATTATTTTGCAAGCTCTCCTAAGCTGCTTTTCATTAGACCATTTTAGTCAATGGCAATGAGTCCTAAATATGCAAGAATTTACTGTCTATCTACCAGAATAAATGTCACAGAAATACAGATTTTTAAAAAGCATTCCCTAGTCTAAAATTACCTACCAGTATAAATTATTACAGAATGCTTTTCTTTGGCTGCTTCATAACGTGAGTGTCCATACTGCCTCACGGCTCCGGCGAAGCATGGCAGCACAGTCCTCCCTTTCCAGGGCCCTCTGCGGCCTCAGTGCCAGTCCCAGGCTGGCGCTTCATTCATAAATAGGAAGGGTCAACCTGGCATTTAAGAAAAACCAACCCTGGCTGGTGGCTCAGTTAGTGACAGTATTGTCCTGAACACAACAGCTTCCAGGTTCAATTCCCCAGGAGGGCACATACCTAGGCTGCGGGTTTCACCCCTGGCCCTGGCATGGCAACCAATCAATGTTTTCATTGATGTTCTCTCTCTCTCTCCCTTCCTCTTTCTCTAAATTCAATAAAATCATATCCTCAGTGCGGATTTTAAAGAGAGAGAGAGAAGAATCAAGACAAATAGAGAGAATGGCACAAGAAAATGAACAGAAGTATTTATTTCCTTTTTTTAAAGGCATAAGAGTTATATCCTCTGGAAGATATTAAAAATCTTTTAAGCACAAATTAAAACATGGTACAAAAGGAGCAATATGAGAACAAGAATTCTTAATATTAAATGTAACAAAGTAAAAAATGTAATAAAGTTAACGATAAAGTTGGAGAAATCCCCCTAATATATCAACATGTCTGTATTTTTAAAAAGGCAGAGAGATGGGAAATACAAGCCGCCAGTCCAACCCTTAACAAGAGACTGAGAGTTCTAGAAAGAGAGGATGGAGAAAGTAGAAAGGGAGAAACACCCCATACACACACACCGAGGGAGGGAGGGAGGGAGGGAGGGAGGGAGGGAGGGAGGAGAGAGAGAGAGAGAGAGAGAGAGAGAGAGGTCCCGAAGCGAAGGTAAAGGAGAGCTTTCCTTTGAAAACGATCACCAATGTCAACAAGGACAGGCGCCCAGCCACGCTCAGGCCTGCAGTGACTACTGCTCAGGTCATCATATAAGTTACATGATACAACAGTGTTTGGTTTTCGGACTTAAAAATCAACCTACTAAGAAATGGCAGGAAACAAAACGAGAGGGCCGGATGGAAGACCGAGGTCGGGGAGTCGGTGGGCGTGAAGCGGAGGGGAGAGGAGGCTAAGCGATCACGGGTCCGGCAGCCCCGGGCGGCCGGGGGCGGACACTGAGGAGACGGCCCCGCAGCAAGTCCCGCGAGCCGCCCGGGGCCCAGAGCACCCACCTTCCCGGGCTCCATCGCCGCCGGCAGGGAGCGGCGGGAGGAGAGGCCCGCGGCCGCGTTCTCCTCCGGAGGGGCGTCGCCGCCTCCTAGCAACCGGCGCGGCGAGGCGCGGGGCGCGGCTACCGTTGGCCCGGCATGCTCCGCGGCCCCCCTAGCGCATGCGCGACCCGACTCCGGGCCGAGTGGAGGCGCGAGCGGCCGAGGGCGGGGCGATCGCGGGTGCGACTTCCTGCGCCGGGCGCGCCCAGCCGGGCCGTGGGCGGCGGAGCGGCGCTGAAGAGCCGGGCGCCTCGGCCGCCGCTAGCCGGCTCCACGCAGCCTAGTGGCCCTGGCCCGTCCGAGGCCCGACCTGGCTCCAGGCTTTCCTGCAGCGCCACTCACGGATTTACCGTCGGCGGTGGAAGGGCTCTTCGCCTGTATAAGGCTTTGCACTTTACAGATCATTTCCCCGTTTGTTGTCATTTGATTAAAAGCTTGTGAGAATGGCAGGAATCGATGCATTTGAAAAAGCAATCGTAAAAGGATGACTTCATGCGACACGAGAGATGAGAGCTGAACCATAAAGGCAAATGTTCTGCATCTCAGGTTTATTTTATCGCGTGCAGGATGCAGGGGGCAGGTCCCAGTCCAGCGGCGCCAGGGAACTCACACCCAGCTGTTTCCAGACACTATTTTGCATTTGTTTAGTACCAATGATGCTGACAAAATATTACTTAATGTTCTCACGTGCGCGCATGCGAGTAAATTGATGGTTAAAGCATGGTTCAAATACACCAAAGTTTCAGGTTCAATCCCCACTCGGCACATACAAGAAGCAACCAATGAATGTATAAATAAGAACAACAATATGATGTTTCTCTCATCTCTGTCTCTAAAATCCATAAATAAAAATGTTAAGTAAAATTGTAAATCATGTGTTAAGCAATACTTCTGTTTGTGCTTTTGATAGGATTTTTCTATAGATAGAAATTTTATTTTTCAGACATTGTATTTTTTAGTGATATACTATTATAAACCGGTGACAGTTTTATGGGCCCATCTATGTATTCCAGATATAAAGGCTGTTTACTTAGTCCCCCGCCTTAAAGAAATTAACAGATCCATTAAGCCCTTTGTATTTAATGATACTCTGGTTTTTAACATACCACTACTACCTTTTTCATTTAGAAAGAACATAGAAGGAAGTTAGGAAAGTTAATATTGGTGATAACTATGTTTTATGCAGGGACTGCTCCAAATGAGGCATTTAGTAATTCATCAAATTCTCCTAGGCATGTTACAGCTTTTCAGATGAGGAATCTGAGAATCAGAAAGGTTAATTTGCTTGTCTGAGGGCACACAGCTAGGCAGGTGGATCTGAGATTAAATCATCCTCTTACCCAGTGTGTCCTTCCATCAACAAGAAAACAGTGGATACTGTTTCCACCCACACCCATAATGCAAGAATAACCCTTCGCCCTCACCTCCCAAGTACAGTCGCTAACTCTTGTCAAGATAATATGACCTTGTCTATATTTTTCATTTTAGCCCCTACCAATCCACCCTGCACTGCAGCCAGTCATCTAGCACATGAATCTCATGTCACTCCCACCTCTATCTTTTTCATCCCCAAACAGGACAACATAGACAGTCACCCAAATGCACCATGTTCACAGGCTTTACTATCTCCCCTGTGTTTGAAAAAAAAAAAAAAAAAAAAGGCTGTAGATGAAGATAAAACAATCTTTCCTTAGACTTCTTAAAATAACTATTTTCTAAATAACTCACTTGCCAATCAAATATTACATTTTACCTTGTAATGTTTACCTTACTGAGTTCATGTGGTGACATGGGCAATATAGAGTGCTAGAGATAGCTAAAACACAGGCTGGGCCTCCAGGAGCTTGTAATTACTAGGAGAGAGAAATATGCACACAATAACCAAATAATCTGAGTGAGAGTCAGAGTGGCTTCCACCTCTACAATGAAACCTCTGCATGGGTGTAGGGAGTGTACCTGGGACAGGGAGAGGTAGTAGAAGTAGACAGAACAATTGATAAGGCCCAGATCTAGGCAGGAGAGGATCGACAACAAAGTGAAAAGAATTGAACTTAGGAGGAGAAATCAAGATGGTAGCATAGATAAACACCTAAACTGCTGCCTCGCACAACAATTTCAAAACTACAATTAAAAGACAAAACGAACATCATCCAGAACCATAGGAAAGCTGGCTGAGTGGAAATTCTACAACTAGAAGAAAAGAGGAAAGCTCACAGAGAATCAGAGGAGCTGCAAAAGGCTGAGATATGGAGACACGTGCATGGGAGAATGCCTGGCTGGCTTTCTCTAGCGGGAAGGAGACAAAAGCTCCCAACTGCGCTGAACCCCAGTTCTGACTGCACTGAACCCCAGTCCTGGGCGAGACCCTGTGAACCCAGGCTTATATGGGGGGAATCTGGACTGTCAGGAAACTCAGGGGAGCCTTGAAAGGCAGAGGTCTGGAGGTACACGAGCAAGTGCACGCAGAGTGGACTGACTGCTGACTGCCAATGGCTTTCCCTAATGGGTGAGAAATGAAAGCTTCCCCACCTCGCTAAACTCCAGTTCTGGGTGAGAATCTGGAAATCCAGATTCATTGGTGAGAAACTGGACTGTCTGGCAGCGGGCGAAACTCGAGGGTGGCTTACTTTTAGAGGTGCTTGCAGTGATTACCGAGGGACACCGAGACCCAGAACCATCATAGGGCAGAGATGACAGGAAGCCAAGACTGTTTGTTTAACCCTGAGACTTTGCACCACCCAAGCTGAGCAAAGTCTTTTGCAATTTTGCAAGTCTGGTCCCATAAAGCTGTCTCCAGCACAGAAGGTCTCCTGGCTGATCCTCACAGCCAATTGGCCTAAAAGTCAATTCCTCCCAGTGACACCAACATCAACCAAAACTTAACTAAAATAAGGCTGTACACATAGTCCACAAAAGGGTGCACCAAGAGTGTCTCTATCCCTCTCTCTTCCTCTCTGTAAAAAATCAATTAAAAAAATTTTTTAAAAAGAGTGTCCACCTCAGGTAACTGGGGAGGCTGACCCACTGGGCCATATAAGAAACCTAGCACACAAAGGTACCCTACCAACTCAAGGAAGCAACAAAAATGTGGAGACAAAGAAATAGATCACAAACAAAAGAAACTGAGGAAAACAAACAACTGGATATAGAGTTTAAAACCACAGTTATAAGGTTTTTCAAGAATTTCCTAGAAAAGGCCAATAAATTTAGCAAGACCCTCAAGGATATGAAAAAGGACCAACTAGAAATAAACATACACTGACTGAAATAAAAAATATTATACAGAGATCCAACAGCAGATTAGAGGAATGCAAGAATCAAGTCAAAGATTTGAAATACAAAGAAACAAAAAACATTCAACTGGGAAAGCAAAAAGAAAAAAGAATTCAAAAAGTTGAAGATAGTGTATTAATAAAAAGCCTCTGGGACAACTTCAAGCATACCAGCATCAGAATTATGGGGGTCCCAGAAGAAGAGAGAGAGCAAGATACTGAAAACCTATATGAAGAAATAATGACCGAAAACTTCCTCCACCTGGTGAAAGAAATAGACTTACAAGTCCAGGAAGAGCACAGAACCCCAAACAAAAGGAATCCAAAGAGGACCACACCAAGACACGTCATAATTAAAATGCCAAGGGCAAAAGCAAAGAGAGAATATTAAAAGCAGCAAGAGAAAAATAGTTACCTATAATGGAGCACCCATAAGACTGTCAGCTGATTTTTCAACAGAAACTATGCAAGCCAGAGGGAGTGGCAAGAAATATTTAAAGTGATGAGTAGCAAGAAGCTACAACCAAAATCACTCTACCCAGCAAAACTATCATTCAGAATTGAAGGTCAGATAAAGAGCTTCACAGATAAGAAAAAGCTAAAGGAGTTCATCCCCACCAAACCAGTATTATATGAAATGCTGAAAGGTATTCTTTAAGAAAAGAAAAAAGAGGTAAAGATAAAAATTATGAACAACAAATACATATCTATCAATGAGTGAATCTAAAAATCAAATGAATTAATCTGATGAACAGAATAAACTGGTGAATATAATAGAATTAGGGGCATAGGGACTGAAAATTCTCAGGGGGAAAGGGGTGTGAGGGGGCGTGGGAAGAGATTGGACAAAAATCATACACCTATGGATGAGGATACTGGGGGGGAGGTAAGGGTAGAGGGTGGGTTGGAAACCTGATGGAGGGGCACTATGGGGAGGGGGAAGAGGAACAAATATAATAATCTGAACAATAAAGATTTATTTAATTTAAACAGAAGGCAGATTATATATATATGTATATATATATATATATATATATATATATATGTATGTATATATATATTAAAAGGCTAATATGCAAATAGACCAAATGGCAGAACAACCAATCAGTGGCTATCATGTACTCTCACCACCAGGGGGCGTAAGCAGAACATGGCAGGCGTTGGCCATCACGGGATGGTGGAGCAGGTGAGCAGGGGTGCCAGACCAAGGCAGGCACCAGTCCCTGTCCTTTGCTGTCATCAGGAGAGCCTCTGGTGGTTACTGAAAATTCTTTGCTCCCACTCACCACAGTCCCACCTGGCGCTTGCACCTGCTGCTGGTGCTGGCCCTGCTACACCCCGCGCTGGTGCTGGAGCCGCCACTCGTACCCACTGCCAGTGCTAGCTCCACTTGTACCTGCAACCAGCACCAGAGCCACCGCTTGCACTCGCTGCCAGTGCCCAGAGCCGGTCCTAATCACTCAACTCCATCAGCAGTTGTGAACAGCGACTGCTGGCCCTGATTCTCCACCTCCCCCTGCTCCTGGGGAGAGATGGGGGCAGCAGCCACCACACACACACCCACTGTTGGTGCCAGCCCCATTTGCTCTGCACCATCAGTGGGTGGGAGCAGGGTCGGAACTGTCAGTGTGTGGGGACAGCAGCAGCGGGAGTGGGCTGCCTGCAGACAGGGGACTGGGGGCCATGGTGGGAGGGGCTGGGCAGGGTCGTGGAGGATGGGCAGAGACCCGCCCCTGTTCTTGCAGCCCACAGTTCCTTTCAAGGTACACAAATTTGTGCACTGGGCCCTTAGAGAGAAAGAGAGAGAGAGAGAGAGAGAGAGAGAGGTAGAAAGTATTGATTTTAGAGAGGAAGGGAGAGGGAGAGAGATAGAAACACCAATGAGAGAGAAGCATTGATCTGCTGTCTCCTGCATGCCTCCTTCTGGGGATCAAGCTTGCAACCAAGGCATATGCCCTTGACTAGATTAGTACCTGGGACCCTTAAGTCCACAGGCCAACACTCTATCCACTGAGCCAAACCAGCTGGGGCCACAAGGCAGCACTTTAATCTGAAAACAGAAAGGAATGAGAGTAGACACTGCCTTCACAGCTTGTTGTTGTTAATCCTCACCCAAGGATAGTTTTTCCATTTATTTTTTATTTTTTATTTTTAGAGAGAGTGGAAAAGTGGGGGAAACACAGAGAGAAACATTGATATGAGAGAAACACATTGATTGGTTGCCTCCCACACGGCCCAGGCCGGAGGATAGAGCCTGCAACTCATGCAGCTGCCTCAACTGGAATTAAACCCATGGCCCTTCGTTTTGCGGTGTACCCTCTAACAACTGAGCCAACCCAGCGCGGGCCACAGTTTTGTTCTAGAACATGCACAATTATGCTCCCCTTTCCTCTGAGAAACCAGAGCCTTTCATTGGAGAACTATTTGCACAGAAGAGAAGGAAACAGGTAACATGAAGGTCATGGAGATTGAGGCGTAGGAAGAATAAAATACTAGGGAGGACCTAAGAATTGAGCTGGGCCTGTTATTGACTGGGAGCAGAGAGATGTGCTCTGCCTTCTGGCATGACCAATACAGGGAAGTGGGCTCACAAAAGCAGCCCAGGCTGGAGGCTGATGGACACTTCTCTTCCATGTATTTTATGTCCCTGGGCCCCGGGTCAAAGACTTCATGGCAGCTGTGCAGGATTCCTTATGTGACTGTTCACACATCTTATCTATAGGGTGTGATTCTACAACTCTGCAGAGGAAAGGCTCATGCTCCTGTGTGTTAACAAGGCAATGCTGGTGAGGTCGAAACCGAGTCATGAGTGAGGGCGGCATTGAGCATTATTTTTTTTTAATATATTTTATTGATTTTGTACAGAGAGGAAGGGAGAGAGATAGAGAGCTAGAAACATCGATGAGAGAGTCATCCATCAGCTGCCTCTTGCACACCCCCTACTGGGGATGTACCTGCAACCAAGGTACATGCCCTTGACCGGAATCGAACCCGTGTCCCTTCAGTCCCCAAGCTGACGCTCTATCCATTGAGCCAAACCGGTTTCGGCCATCTGAGCATTATTGAACTGTTGCACAGGAAGAGTTGAGACCCACCATTTTATACACAGCAGTGAGCAAAAGTAGGTTGACAGTTTTTCGTATGGAAAATAGTACAATAATTAATAAATAACAATATAAAAACAAACTGTTTCTGATACTCCCAACTGTAGCCCAACAATTGCCTATCCCCTGTATTTACAGCTTACATAATGTAATTCGGTGAAGAGCAAGGGAAAACTACTTCATTTGTTTCAGATTTAGCACCTTCCACTGAAGTTGAGTGTTCTAGACCCTAGATCAAGGTTTTTATGAGATATGTATTTATGTCTCCATAGCAACACATACACATACACACATTATTATATATAGACTTACAGATGAAGGGAGGAGATAGGTTTATTCATTCAATACTTGCTATGCCAGGCAGTGTGCCAGCCTAAAGATATGCTGATAATGCTAATAAATGTGGTTCTTGTTCTCAAGGAACTTAAAGCCTCGTGGAATTACTAATGAGACTTGGCAAAGTTAGGAATGCATACACACAATCCCTCAGCCCGAGTCATGATAGGAAGTCTGATACCTCTGATCTAACAGTCTGATTGCAGCTTAGTCTTTAGTTGGCAGTCCTCTTCCTCTCACACAGCAAGTGGTCTATGGGATAGCACTGCTTTGTCCCGAGGGCACCAGGCTTTGTCCTGCAGCCACTGTGTAGAATCCCTGCAATATGACAAGGAAGAGCACATGTCAATCACGAGTGTAAAAACAAGTAAGCATGTTATTTCTCTCCTATAGTCTCTGCTCTTCCTGAAGTTGGTAATTCAAAGCTACAAGTTACAAGGTTTAAAGAGTAAGAGAGAGGTTAAAAAACAGCCCTGTCTATATAAATGTAATTAAAATTTCCTTGGAAGTCACTGCATAGGTTGAAGGACAGTTAACTCGGAAGTACTGGTTGAATTTCCTGGAATCACAAGCCAGGTCTATGTGAGTCCTTCAGCATTGAGTAGCCAGGACGTGACCTTCTCCCAGGGAAGCTGAGCAGCATCCTGCCTGGAGCCAGAATCCCACTTTCCTGCCAGCATCGCCTCTGACACGTTAGCTGGGGCCAAAATTCCTGTCTAACACTCAAGTAAAAGGGCCCCATCCTGATGCGTTTTCCTCATGTCTAAGCTGGCTGTGATTAAAAAAAAAACAACAACCCATATCTTGCCTTAGATGGTGTGGCTCAGTGGATAGAGCCTGGGCCTGCAGACTGAAGAGTCACAGGTTTTGGCCAAAGGCACATGCATGCCCTGTTTGAGAGCTCGATCCAAAGTAGGGGCCTGCAGGAAGCAACCGATCAGTGGTTCTCTCTCATCATTGATGATTCTCTCTCCTCCCTCTCTAAAATCAGTAAAAATATACATTAAAAAAACACACAAAAAAAACAATACATCTTTATGCTGTGGCATCATCCGCACGACTAGAGCGGTAACTGCTTTGCTTTAGGGCGCTGCACTATCAACCACTCAGGAGCACGATTTTTAACGTTAAAAGTATAGGAGACAGCCTCTCCCCCAAACCTGCTGGTGGAAGAAACCCGCAGGAGCGCGCACTGCTCCTTCCACACTAGCCGTCCAGGAGCCGCACCCCGGCGACCCACCCGCCCTCCGGCCCCCGGTCAGGCGGCGACAGAGCCGTCCCCAAGCCCAGGGTGCTCTGCAGCCGGTGCCGCACAGGCCACTGCCCAGCCGGCAGCCCAGCCCGAGACTGCGCGCCGGGAGGCAGCCCAAGACCGCGCGCCGCCCCCGGGCCCGGCGCCGGACGTCCCACGCTGGGCTCCGCCCGCCCAGAAGGCCGGCCCACCACCCGGTGGAGAGGGAGCGGCCAGCCCCGCCAAGGCCTCCCACCGCCCCGCCCACTCAAGCCCCGCCCACCGCCGCTTCACGCACCAGCCCCGCCCACCCCATGAGTGACGTGCGCCCAGCCCGGGCCCCGCCCTGCCGTCCTGCGCGCTGACGTCACACGCCGCCTGCAGGCGGCCAGGAGGCGTCCCCTCAGAGGGGAGCTGGCGCTCGGCTGGAGGCGCCTCGGCTGGGACCGGACGCGCTGGCAGAGCGGCTGGGCAGCGGACGATGAGAGACGCCGAGGGCCCGGGCCTGGTGGCCGACGCCGCACGGGCCGAGCCGGCTGGCGCGGCGCTGAGCGTGGACGTGGTGGGGCTGCTGGCGCAGCTGGCCCGCAGCTTCGCGCTGCTGCTGCCGGTGTACGCACTGGGCTACCTGGGCCTGAGCTTCAGCTGGGTGCTGCTGGCGCTGGCGCTGCTCGCCTGGTGCCGGCGCAGCCGCGGCCTCAAGGCCACGCGCCTGTGCCGCGCGCTGGCGCTGCTGGAGGACGAGGAGCGCGCCGTGCGCCTGGGGGTGCGCGCCTGCGACCTGCCGGCCTGGGTGAGTACGCCCGACCCGCGGACCTGCCGACCCGCGCTTCCCGCCGATCAGTGGTTCTCTCTCATCAAGGGGGCAGGAGCGGGTTCGCCGACCCCGCTCCTGCCCCCTTCCTGCTGGTCTGGGTGCGCGCCTGCGACCTGCCGGCCTGGTGCGCGCCGGCGCGGGGCCAGCCGCGTCCCAAGTCTAGACCCGCTGACCTGTGGGCTCGCGTGCCCGCCCCGGCTGGCTGCCCGTCTGTGCGCGCCTCGCTCCACCCGGCCCGCCGCCGGAGGTGCGCCCGCCCCGCCCTGCCGCCTACCGTCCGGGTCGGGTGTCCGCTCCGTGGCCGCCCCCACCTGCCCACGCCGGTGTGTCCGCGCCACCGGCTTCCCGGGCGGATAGGGGCCGGTGTCGGTCCGGATCGTTGTCCGCGCGCTCGCCTGCGGCCCCGCAGCCCCTCCCGAAGGCGCCTTCCCTCGCCCCCTCCTCCCGCCGCGCCCGGGCGGGACCTGGGGGGTGTGGCGGGGCTCCGGGCGGCGGGGAGCGGCTTCCCCGGAGCCCGGCCCCACCTGCGCCCCAGGAGGAGGGAGTGGCCTCGGGTGCCTCCCGGGAAGTCGGTGCTTCCCCGGGAGACTCAGTTCTCGGTGCTCCTGACCCGCCGAGGAGCGGCAGCCTCCCGTTGTGCGGCTGCTAGTGGAAAGCCAGCTCCGCGGGAGGTAGCGCCGGGGCCGCACGGTGCGCCCCGGGAGCCGCCGGGGGGGGGGGGGGGGCGGGTCCCCAGCGCTCTCCTAGGAGTTGGGGCCCGGGTCAGACTTGCCGGAAATGGCAGTATTTTAAGGTAAGTAATGCTCACATCAGGGTTGATGTAAACTTCAAGTGAAAATGGCCAGCCGTGTGTCCAAAGGGTCATTTCTTCTTGGAGGAGAAACGGCTTGGAGGCCAAGAGGGAGCAGGAGGCCCCGAGGTCGCAAGCAGCGGGCCCCGGGCCGGGCACTGAGGGCGCGGCTGCCTGCAGGTGAGGGACAGCCCCTGCGGGCAGGCCTGTGGCACAGTAAGCAGGAAGGAGGAGGGCGTGCCCTTCGGATTTGCAGGAGTTCTCGTTGACAGTGTGAGTGTCTGTGCCGGAAAGAAGCTAAATCACCAAAGCAGCAAGCCTCAGAGGGCTCAAATTCACAGGAACCCATGTGCTGACTTTCATAAGTATTTGGTCATCAAGCTGTTGGCTAATATCAGTTGGCTTATAAAAATCCTTGTGAAATGCACAGTTTTCACATACTAAATGAACAAATAACAGTTCCTACCATACTGGGGGCAAGACAAGTTCAGGAAGGGAAAGAGGAAGGAATGAATTTATATTTTCTCCAAAAATTTCACTTGTTAATTCCAAATTTGCATTTGCAGTTATATCATACATATGCATACACACACACACACACACACACACACACACACTTAAACATACCTGCATTGCTTAGAAAACTTCTGGAAATATTCACATGCAACTTGACAAAGCACTAGGGGGTTGGAATTTGAGGGGGATTTTTTTTTTAATAAACCTTTATTGTTCATATTATTACAAAAGTTCCTCATTTTTTCCCCCCTCCACCAGGTTCCCACCCCACCCTCTGCCCTGTCCCACCCCCCATTGTCATTGTCCTCATCCAGAGATGCACAGTTCAATCTCTTCCCGCACCCCCCACTCCTCTTTTCCTTGAGAATCATCAGTCCACTCGTTGAGGGGGATTTTTTTTTTAAGGAAAATCTTTTTTATACATTTAAAAACTTTTACTTTTAATTATAGTTCATGTACAATTTTATACCTTTTTATTATCATCATAATAAAAACCAGTGGATTACATTGTCTGAAAGGATGTCTGCTATTCTGTTTTAGCTAGGGATCAAAGCAACAATAGAAGATTTCTGTATTAGTAGTATTAAGTGCATACTTGGGTTCTTGGGGTTCTGAACTTTGGGCTGGTATTTTGCTTTGAATGAGATATATTTGTACACATTTTCTTTTCTTAAATATTTTTTTTATTGATTTCAGACAGGAAGGGAGAGGGAGAGAGATAAATATCAATGGTGAGAGAGCATCATGGATCTGCTGCCTCCTGAATGACCCCTACTGGGGATCCAGCTTGCAACCTGGGCATGTGCCCTGATGAGGAATCAAACTATAACCTCCTGGTTCATAGGTTGATGCTCAGGTGCTGAGCCACCCCTGGTGGGGCTGCACTCATTTTCATAATAGTTTGATTTCTAGCAGGATTGGAAGCAGAGGGAAATATGAATCAATGTGGTACCCACTTCCAACCCTGCTTTTGGATATGTTCATTTACAGTTTTTTATTTTATTTAGTAAAGTAAAAATTTACACTGGATATGAAAAATGAGTTAATTAAAGAATATTACTTTGAGAAAAAGTATATATTGTTTTTAATTAAGGCTACTAGTATGCGAAAAATACTTCTCATTTAATATGTTGTAATTCTGTAAGACTTTGGTCCTCAGCTTCATTGTAAACTGTATTCATCGCTCCTCTAAAAAAAAAAATTATTCACAAAAGGAAAAGGCCTGGTAAGTTTGGATTAATGGGTTAAGGATGGCCTTTTTTTGTTGGACATACCAGTGTCTAACCTGTGTTGTAAAGTTTAGACTATGGGTGAAGAATATTCTTGAAGAGTTTTTGTGTAGATAAATAAGAACAGTATATATTTTCATTTAGTTGAAAAATTAGAATTTGGTAGGGTGCATTCTGCCCCTTTCCTGTTTTTTTTTCTGCTGCCAATAAATGCTAATTCTATGGCTGCAGATGAGTAGAGACCCAAACCTGTCCTGTTCCTCAGTTGTCCGGACAGTTGGTTTCATTATCTGACACTTCTTCTATACATGTACCAGCTCTTCTTTGGAGGGAGCTCTCTTATCCTCATCCCGGGATGTTCAGGAGAATTTAACACCAGCTAACATTGAATATGGATAGTCTAAGAACCAAAATAACAAAACAAAAGAATATACTCTGGTCTCATATAATAGAAGGACAAATATTTGCTTTTATTCTCAGTGTTAAACATTGACTTACACTTCATGGAAATTTTGTGAAGACACAATATTTGTTGTAGCTAAATCAAGAACCAGTTTAGCTATTTTAAACTGTGGTTGCAGTTTTACCACTTAGATCCCAGAGTGATATTGTGCTCTGAGGAAAGATTAGAGACCTCCTCAAGGCTGTGGAGGGGACACGGATGCTCTTTGGATTCTTGTTCACACACACGCTGCTGCTGCAGCTCAGAGAGGGAGTGACTGAGTATTGCGATGCTTGTGTTGTGGGGTTTAAATGCTTCATTAAGGTAGAAATGAATAAAGCAGTCAATATCTGCCTCACTTTACATTTCAAGATGGGAATGAACTGAACTATAAATAATTTAAATAAATATGAGTTGAACACATGTAACATATTTATATTAAATTAACATACTGCATTAATTATCTATATATATAAAAAGCCAGCGACCAAAAGGCTGTAACAGCCAGAACAACCGACCAAAACAACCGGTCGCTGTGACGCCCACTGCAGCCAAGGAAGGGCCTGATCAGGGGTGGGGCCAGCTGGCCAACCTCCTTCAGCCCCTCTCCCTGTCGCCTCCCAGTACCCCCCTCCAATCAATTAGGTGGGGCCTGCTGGCCCACCAACCACAGCCCCTGCCGACAGCCGGCCCTGACCCCAGTTGTCCCCCAACCCCAGTCTGGAGTGGGGCCTGCTGGCCCGGCACTGATTAGGCCCTGATTGTGCACCGGGCCTCTAGTATTTTATTTTATAAAATATACTAGATAAATATATTTTATAAATATACTAGAGGCCCGGTGCACAAAATTTGTGCACGAGGAGGGGGTGCCCCTCAGTCCAGCCTGCACCCTCTCCAATCTGGGACCCCTTGAGAAATGTCCAACTACCTAGTTTTTACACAAATAATGTAAATGGGCAGTTGGACATCCCTCTCAAAATCCAGGACTGCTGGCTCCCAACCTCTTGCCTGCCTCTGCCTGATTGCCCCTACCTGCTTCTGCCTGCCAGCCTGATCAACACCTAACTGCTCCCCAGCCACCCGATTGTCCTAACTGCCCTTCCCTGCTGGCCTGGTCACCCCTTTCTGCCCTCCCCTGCCAGTCTGGTCACCCCTAACTGTCCTTGCCGCTGGACTGATTGCCCCCAACTGCCCTCCCCTGCAGGCCTGGTCCCCCCCAACTGCCCTTCCCTGTCAGTCTGGTCACCCTTAATTGCCCTCCTTGCTGGCCTGATTGCCCCCAACTGCCCTCCCCTGCAGGCCTGGTTCTCCCCAACTGCCCTCCCCTAATGACCTGGTCTGCCCCAACTGCCCTCCTCTGCCAACCGGTCATTCTTAACTGCCCTCCCTGCTTGCCTTATCTCCCACAACTGCCCTCCCCTGCAGGCCTCCCCCCCGCCCCAACTGCCCTCCCTTTCTGGCCTAATCTCCCCCAACTGCCCTCATCTGCTGGCCTGTTCACCCCCAGCTACCCTCCCATGCTGGCCTGGTCTCCTCCAACTGCCCTCTTCTGCTGGCCTGGTCACCCCTAACTGCCCACAACTGCCCTCCCTTGCATGCCTGATCCCCTCTCCCCCAACTGCCCTCCCCTGCAGGCCTGGTCCCTCCCAACTGCCCTCCCCTCCTGGCCATCTTGTGGTAGCCATCTTGTGTCCACATGGGGGCAGCCATCTTTTGTCTTGGAATGACGGTCAATTTGCATATTACTCTTTATTTATTTATTTATTAAAATATATTTCTTTATTGATTTCAGAGAAGAAGGGAAAGGGATAGAGAGATAGAAACCAAGGATGAGACAGAATCATGGATCGGCTGCCTCCTGCACGCCCCCTGTGGGATCGAGCCCACAACCCGGGCATGTGCCCTTGGCCAGAATCCAACCCGGGACCCTTCAGTCCTCAGGCCGACACTCTATCCACTGAGCCACATCGGCCAGGGCATTTTACTCTTTTATTAGATA